CACACTGAAAAATCTCTCAAAAACACATAATACACTCGCTTCTCAAGGTAATGGGATAATACTTTTTTTTTAATTTAAAAAGGGGGATAACTGGTGGCAAGTTACGGTTATCCATCCCTTTTGGGGGTAATAGGATAATACTTTTATGAGCCTTAGTTCATATATTTTTTATCTTTCATCTCACATGTATCTTTGTAAAGCGTTGTAAGGTCATCTCTAACTAAATGAGGGTCAAATGGCCATGTTTAGCCCTATAGTTCTGCAAGAAATTATATTTTAGTGAACAATGTCAGACCATATTTTATATCATCTCCAACTGAGAGGGCCAAACGACCATAGGCCAAACATAGCCCTTTGACAAAAAACTCATTTCCAACAGTGGGGGCCAATGGGCCATAGGCCAAACATAATTAATATATATTTTATTATTTTAATTGAATTAATATGATCAATTAAATTAAACTACCATATTAAAATAAGGTTTTCGGACATATTTTGAGTATCACTTGTCGCTAAATGAAATAGGATTTCTTATCTTTATATAATCTCAATAATTTTTCTCAGATATGCCATTTGAAAATTTTTGAAAAAATTAAAAGAAAGATTATTGGAAGAGGTAAGAGAATAGAATGTGAAGAATTGAAATAAAATGAGGTAAGATAGTATGGAGTGGTGAAAATTATGTGAGAAATGATGTAGGAATGACTTATGTATTTATAGGAAATGGTGTAGGAATGGCTTAGGTATTCGTCCAAAAAATAAAATCAAATTCCAACTGCTACCTGACGTTATGCTGACGTCAAGTTACCTTTGGAGTGCAGTGGGCTAGGCTCATCAGGCTGGTTGGCTGGCTTGAAATGGCCAACCCACTGGCTTGAAATGGCCAACCCGCTGGTCCACAAACCCTTTAGTCTAACCATCGGTTAGAGACGTTTTTTTTGTCATTTCAAGCTATTTTTAGTCATATGACCATTTGGCCGGGTCGGTTGGAGATGACCTAAGTACACATGTAGATAATATTTAGATACTTAAGAAATTTTTAAAATTTTACTTTTATTCAATCGAATCAATCGTATTGGTGGGAGAATTGAATTTGGGATTACAGGTTAAAAGTTATTGGCAGATTTAGACAATGAGAACAATTTGCCACGAAAGGAATAAATCATATAAACTACAAATAGGAGATATTCAATACCACAAAGATATCATGGCCGATCTTGAGTTTTTTAGTGCCCACAACGAATGCTCAAAATGTGTTTTTCGACAATGACAATACACGAAGATATATTAGAAAAATATTTAAAAAGAGCTTGAGCTCATTCGAAACTACGCCCTCACATTATATTATATTACTTGAAGAAAAGAACATACAATATATACTGGGATGTGCTATTTATACACTTTATTTTACGTCTCACATACCTTTTGATAATTTATGTCTGTTGATTTTCTTTAATTCATCCGATCCAACGGCCGAAAATTAAAAAGGTGTGTAAGAAGTAAAATGGGGTGTATGAATATCACATCCCTATATATTTCTTGAAGAAAAAACATACTTGGCGGAAAAGGATCATCTCTGGATCCACTTGGGGGGATTCTAGGGATTTTCATATACTAGCCGTTCATTGTATATTATGCCGTCAGTTTTCGTCAAGTATTATTTGTGTTTAATTTTAAATAAAAAATTAAATAATTTTTGACCGTACGATACACGATGAATGGTTAAAATACAAAAATTCTTAAAATTCCCACAATTTGAATCGGATGGGATCCAAATCCTGCCTGGGTGGACGACTGGAGTGGACGGATGGGACGTCGAAATCATGCCGTGCAGCTTGGGAAATTGCTTCGAGATTCAGGTTTATAGGTATAACAGTATACTTCTAAAAGAACAGATTAATGATCCCTTTAATTAATTAATTAATTAAAGTCTTAAGGCTTGGTATTTGGAGCTGATTTATGGCTCCTTTAAATCTTTAATTAATTAATTAAAATGACGAACAGAAGCCAGAAGGCCATAGTACTCAAATTTTTTTATTTTACATTCTTTATAGTTGTATTTTTTTTAATTATAAAAAGTTTAGCGTGAAAAATAAGATTTTTAAAGTGTTAATAACAATTTTCATACCTATATATGTGGAAAAAAATTTTGGTGCCCTTTTTATTTTGAGCCATGGATTCGACTCTGTTAACGGGTAATACTAGAGAGACTAAATTTGAAAAACTGAATGACATGAAAGTTGACTTAAATGTTGATAAACGTGATCATTCTTATTAGTAACACATCATTTAGTTCTCAAATTTGATTTACAAATATAATCTCTCTAAGCCTGCCCTGCAAAACATAACCACATCATATTATTGATAGCTTTTTTAAACTAAAAAAGTAAAAAAGTGTTTTAATGCTTTAGATAGGTAGAGAGGTACTTTAAGATTTTCACCAACAATGGAATTTTTTTGTTTTGCAAGCAACTCCAAAGGGTTGCAATCCTCTAGCCTCGTCGTGGTCTTTGAAGCTAAGAGATTTCTTGTTGGCTTATATAATAATGATACATGAATGTGACTAATTAAAAGGTCACTTAGTTGATTAAATATAGTGGTCACAATAGTGGTACTTCTCCGCACACGTTTCCAATTGTCCAATTAAAAGAAAATTGACCCCAAACACTAGTTTTTGTGGGCCTATTTTATGTTTATCCGCATGCAAGGATTATTTTATCCCAACCCATCTTTTATTTGTTTTTTTAAGGTACCAAGGGATGGTCAAACTTTTATTTAAACACAAAACAACAACACAAGGTTGGTAAATGCAAACAACACTATTGGGGAAGGATAACATTGAAATTATAATTTTATTTAATTATTTGGGTTTGCCTTTTTGGTACCTAAATAATTAGGTTTTTGATTTTTTATCCACTATAGCCATTGTATTACTTTGTAGGCCAAGCTAGTTTATCTAGGTGACGAGTCACGTCTCCGGATCTCGCAATCTGGAATTGACGGACCGAGTAATTTTGACCACTCATTTCAAATGTTATAGCCTCTACTTCATCCCGATGGCCTAATTCACAAAAACTAAGGGTCCAAATCTCTCTTTCTTTTGAATTATATGGATTACGTGGTCTGTCGATTTGGGACTACAAGATCCGAAAAGGTTTTGAATCCTTAAAAAAGAGATATATATGTAGAGTTACTCATGTGAACGTTATATTTACAGAAATAGTTGGCAAACTAATTTGTGAATATACTTTTTGTATTCTTGTGTTAAGAGGTTTAGTGGTAGGTTTGGTTATGGTTCACTAGCCTTTGGATATATATGATGCCAACACACTCTCGCACACACATATATGGATTGTGAATTAGAATTTCCTCACATATGCACACAAATGAAGAGATTGAAAATATTTTATCAATGTTGATACCAAACAATATTTAATTATCAGATAATTTCACGTCTTACCCAAACGGAACCTATTTAATTTATATAAGAGGAATGCTAGGTGGACTAGTTTTTCAAACTAAATTTGCAAATCATGTAATGTGTCACCAATATAAATAAGCACATTAATCAACACTTAATTAATAATCTAATCATCAACAAACACGTTATATAATTTATAAAATTTAGTCCTGAAAATTGATCTACCTAGTATTACCCGACAGATACATGTCAAACTAATTGAGGATGAAATGTGAACATGATTATCATACCAAACTTTCTGGCATTAATTGGAGTTTAGTTGAAGTTAGGCGCAAGACATACGGATATGGTTCCATTATAGATAACGAATTGGAATCTGTCATACACAAACATTAAAAGAATTTTCTTCACGCTGATTTGAAACTACACGGTTTATAGTTTAATTGGCTAATTTCGAGATGAATTTTCACACCCTTATTATTGCTTGTATTTAGAAAAATGTACAATGATCAAGAATTTAAATTAACAATTAACTAACGTATCATGTTAAACTAACTCGGCGAACAAAAACTAGAAATACATCACATAAAATCGGAGTAAGGGAGAGATTTTTCAATGTGATCGGTACACGGAATGGTACATCACGTGCCACTATACAAATGGTGAAATATATGTGCTAAAATGTTAATAACTTAAAAAATAAAATTTCCCACCACTTTTATTAAAATACGTGGTGTATCACTTATGTTCCCGTTACAATAAAAAAATTCTCGGAGTAAGGGGTAGATATGAAATAAAGATGGAAAGGAGGTGACATTAGTGAAAGAAGAAAGGCACAGCACAGGACTATAACGTAAAACCAACCAGGAGTTTGCAACCCAACCATAACCATAGTCTCTCTCTCTCTATCTCTCCATCTCTCTATCTCTATCTTGTTTATCTTGTTTCTCTCTCTAAATCTCTCCATATATATCTTCTTCTTTTTTGACTTTCTACGCCTATTAATCTGCCTCTCGAGGCTCCACGAGCTTCCTTTGTTGAACGAAACAATTTAAGCACTTAAAAAACAACCCCAAAACGGAGCTCCATCCAAATCTTTCCGATAAATATTTCTTTTTCTTAAATTATTAGTCAGTTTCGAAACCATTAAAAACTCTCACAAATCTCACCGGTTTCCAACCTAACATACACCTCCTCCTCCTGGTCTCTTTCCCATATAAAAAAAATATCAAACACGGTCTCTTTATCCATTTCTCTCTCTCTCTCTCTCTCCCTCTGCAAACAGCTCCGAGTTGTACAGTGAGTTTTCTTTTTTCTGGGTTGCTGATAATTTAAGGGAAATCAATACTTGTGCTTTTTTGGGTTGTTGGGAGTTGGCTTTATGATTCAGTTTCTATGAAATGACACAGCTGTTTTCTTCTATTTTCTCAGCAACCAAACAGAAAACAGTTGTTGGGATTTGTCTTCAATCTCTAAATGCGTAAGTTGTTTTCGCAGGATATTTTCTCTTCACATAGCTTTTTTGTTGGATCAATCCGACTTCATTTCAGGTTAATCTCTTTACTTCCAATCACCCCAGTTATGTTTGTTCGCATAGAAAATTTATATTTTAATCGAGAAAGATAAAATCTTTTGCTCAAAGGGTTGTTATGCATCGAGTTAAATACTAAATAGATAAAAGTTTGAATCTTTAAGGTAAAATATATCATGGTAATTATTAAATCGAAAAAAGTTTTGAGTTTTAAGGTAGAATATTATCAAAATATACTTTTGTGAATTAAATCTGCTGAGAAAAATGGAGCGAAAGTTGCAAAAGCTGCAGTGATAAGTAATGGTTCTTGGATTTTAATTTGTACTTGTTTTAGTTTGTTACGTGAGAATATGAATAATGATCGGAGATAAGGACGAATCCTTTGAATAATAGCCGAACCAGATATGTATTTGCATTTATTGGAAATTATTCCTTGCGTCTGTTATGTTTGTACAGATAAGCTTGATGCAAATGAGGATATATATGTATATATATATGTGTGTGTGAAGTTCATGTTTTGTGGATAAAATTTAAACTGCAACTTTTTTTTTTTTATTTCGGAAATAATTCGATTTCGCTGCTCTGAGAAGTTGATTTGAAGATCATTTTTGTTAATTGAAGATTTTAGAAATGGCTTAGGATGTGAAAAACACCATTGATGCAGAATCTGCTTGTAAGTTTATAAACGAGGTATTTATATGCATACATTTTAGTATATTGCTTCCATTTAGTATTTTTGTATTATATTTTTTTATATTATTTTTTATGGTTTTCTGTATATGGGTTTGGATGATGATCTCCTCTTGTTATTGGGTATGCTCTGATTTCTTCAATTTAGTTGGAATAGATAGCCAAATCGGTTCGTCAGATTTAACTTTCTAAAATGTGCAGTAGTTGAAAAGTATTGCAGAACTTCGAGCAAGTTCATACTTTTTTGTGAAATTAGATGCAAATGGTTTTACAAATCGCTCTGTAATAATGGTGTTTTCATTAGAAATCTGCTCAATCTGCTCAATCTGCTCAATCTGCTCAATCTGCTATGCTTTGTGATCTTCTTTGTCCAGAGATAGGGATCGGATGCTGCACCCATTACTAATAATGTTCTGTCCCATGATAATTAATTGAATATTAGTCTTTTCCTGCATTTCTTATAGGTTCTTACTTTGCACAAAATTCTTGATTGTAGATTATATAGAAATCCAAGTCATTAAACTGGTGTAACAGCGCACAACCGCAATAATGTTCTCAAGATCGTGCATTAGTTTGTTGGAGTTGTCATCCGGGGACGTGTTGAATTTCCCTCAGACTCCTAGAAACCTCCCAAGGGTGATGACTGTTGAAGGAGTTATTCCTGATGTAAAAAGTAGTGACGGTGTTGATGAAGATATAAGTGTTCCTCCTTCGGAAATATGTGAGAAGAAGATCATTGTGGCGCATTTTCTCCCTCTACATGCTCAGAAGGATGCAAAATCTGGGAAATGGAACTTCAGTTTGGATGAGGATCCAGTTTTGTTGCAACTCAAAGATGGTTTTCCATCTGGTACTGTGGTTATATATGTCGGTTCTCTGAAGGTTGACATAGATGCAAGTGAGCAAGAAGAAGTTTCGCAGAAACTGCTGGAGGAGTTTAATTGTGTGCCGACATTCCTTCCTTCCGAGCTGCATAAGAATTATTATCATGGGTTCTGTAAGCAATATTTGTGGCCTCTCTTTCACTACATGCTGCCAATGTGTCCGGACCATAGTAATCGCTTTGAGCGGCATCTTTGGCAGGCATATGTTTCTGCAAACAAGATGTATGCCGATAAAGTTATGGAGGTGATCAATCCTGAAAATGATATTGTATGGGTTCACGACTATCACCTTATGCTTCTTCCAACATTTTTGAGAAGGCGTTTTACACGAGTTAAGCTTGGCTTTTTCCTCCACTCCCCTTTCCCCTCGTCAGAAATCTACAGGACCCTTCCTGTCCGAGATGAAATTCTGAGAGCACTGCTAAATGTAGATCTGATTGGATTCCACACGTTTGATTATGCTCGTCACTTCCTTTCTTGCTGTAGTAGAATGCTTGGTCTTGAATATGAATCTAAGCGGGGCTACATAGGACTTGAATATTTTGGCCGCACAGTGTACATTAAGATTCTGCCGGTGGGGATACACATGGGCCAACTTGAATCTGCGTTAAATCATCCCTCTTGTTCCATGAAGGCCAAGGAGATTCAAGAGCAGTTCAAGGGGAAGAAAATCATTGTTGGTGCCGATGACATGGACATATTTAAAGGCATCAGTCTAAAGTTGATGGCCATGGAACAGCTTTTGATGCAGCACCCGGAGATGCGGGGGAAGGTAGTCCTGGTTCAAATTTTAAATCCTGCAAGAAGCACAGGGAAAGATGTTCAGGAAGCAAAAAGGGAAACATATTCAGTGACCAGAAGGATAAACCGAGTCTTTGGATTCCCAGGCTACGAACCAGTTGTTTTGATTGACCGTAGCGTTCCTTTTTATGAGAAGGCTGCCTATTATTCTTTGGCAGAATGTTGCATCATTAATGCTGTGAGGGATGGAATGAACCTGGTCCCCTACAAGTACATCATTTGCAGGCAGGGTAATCAAAACGTGGATAAAGCTATTGGAGTTGCCTCTGATTCCCCTCGTACAAGTACACTCGTTGTCTCAGAGTTCATAGGTTGCTCTCCATCTTTGAGTGGAGCTATCAGGGTGAACCCGTGGAACATTGAAGCTGTTGCTGATGCACTCAACGTGGCTCTCACAATGCCTGATTTGGAAAAGCAGTTGCGGCATGAGAAACATTTTCGGTATGTTAGCTCCCACGATGTGGCTTACTGGTCCCGCAGTTTTATACAGGATTTGGAGCGAGCATGCAAAGATCACTACAGAAAACGTTGCTGGGGAATTGGTTTTGGTCTGAATTTCAGAATTTTGTCACTTTCTCCGAGTTTTAGGAAACTTTCAATTGACCATATCCTCTCTGCATATAAGAGGACAAACAGGAGGGCAATATTTTTGGATTATGATGGAACGATAATGCCTGAATCTTCCATTGTTAAGAACCCCAGTCCCGAAGTCATTTCTGTTCTGAAGAACCTTTGCAGCGACCCCAAGAACAGTGTGTTTATAGTGAGCGGAAGGGGTCAAAACTCACTTAGCGAATGGTTTGCTCAATGTGAGAATCTCGGTATAGCAGCTGAGCATGGATACTTCATGAGGTATGTTCTTACATGTGCGTATAAATTTACTTATATACTTCATTGTGACTACTAGTTTGGTCTATACTTGTGTTGATTCCTCATTCACTTCTATCATGTCACAGATGGAATAGCACGTCCAGCTGGGAAACCAGTTCCTTAGCCATAGATCTTGACTGGAAGCAAATTGCAGAACCTGTGATGAAGTTATATACAGAGGCGACCGATGGCTCCTACATAGAGAGCAAGGAGAGCGCCTTGGTTTGGCACCATCTAGATGCTGATCCTGATTTTGGATCATGCCAGGCCATGGAGTTGCTGGATCATCTTGAAAATGTACTTGCGAATGAGCCTGTAGTTGTTAAAAAGGGCCAGCATATTGTCGAAGTAAAGCCACAGGTATATACGTTCTCAATGTTCTTTCCTCACTTTCGCATTTCTCTGTTTGTATTGTGGCCTAAAGGACGTCTTGTGGCTTAAACTGCAGGGAGTTACTAAAGGTTTAGTTGCACAGAAAGTTCTTTCCACGATGATCGGTAATGGGAATGCGCCAGATTTTGTGCTGTGCATCGGGGATGATAGATCAGACGAGGACATGTTTGAAAGCATATCGAGCACAAGCTACACAACGTATAGTTCATCTCAAGTTGCAGCTCCCGAGATCTTTGCATGCACTGTCGGACAAAAACCTAGTAAAGCCAGGTACTACCTCGATGATACAGCGGATGTCGTCACATTGCTTAAAGGCCTGGCAACCGATTCAAGTCTCAAGCCAAGGGGCAGTGGGGAAATTCAAGTCCCTTTCGAGAATATTATCTTAGATGAATGAGCTGCCACTGTTCAACAACCTGCCTAGGGTAGTGAAGAACATCGACGGATGCTTTTCTTCTGATGATACAAGTACACACAAAGGAATCGCGGATTAACTCTTTATGCTTTGATACACTAACCTATTCTTTGCATGGTGGAAAGCCGGACATGATGCTGCTCTGGGTGTTTCTTTCAAAGAGAACGATGATCACAAAAGGATTACTGCGGATTTGGAGATGTCAATGGTTACTAATGGAATATGCGGTGGCGATGTCAACAAGGAGAAATTCTTCAGTGTGCCGGGAAAATGGTCCGGTATACAAAGTTTAAGACAATAATTGGTTGGAAACTTGAAAACCGAAAATTTCCAACTAATGGTATTATGTCACTTTGTGTACTAGACCGTGTTTCCGGCATACTGAAAAATTTCTCGTCAACTAGATGGGATTTACCTTCTTAGTTCACAGGTTAAAACTTGTTTTCTATTTCATCAATAGTAGTTTTTACAGATAGATTCAAAGGCCATCATTTGTTTGTAAATTTGAAGTGGCTTTGTACTTGCATGATACTTGATTCTTTTCTTTGTGAAATCATAGTTTTTACCGCAAGTTGTCTCTGGCAACACTCCTCACGTTCTGAACGGAGATGGAAGTGTAGTAAATTATAATTTACAGTCCCAAATGACAATTGTAGTTTATGTCGTTTTCAGGAGCTTTCACAAGGAATTATAGGCTCAGTTTTGCCAATTGAATTCATGTAGTTTGCTTAGGATCTTAAACAAAGATAATTCTTTAACATCAACAGGCGAAATTTGAGGTTTTGTGTCGTTTTACACGTCTTGGGGTGTAAAATCAACCTTTCGGTGGTTAGGCCTTTCACAGTAGGTCGGAAGAATGTGGTTTTTTCAAGTAGTTTGCTTAGAATCTCATTCAAATATTGTGGAAAAGCCTTAAGTATGTTCTAACTTCTTTTCGTTTCATCTCAAAATGTGGCTCGAGAATTTTTGGGTTTGAATCATCCCCTAAAAGGTTAGTCGTGTTCTTCATGTGTGACTCCACAACTATGTGAATCCGACAAATCCGACATGCGAATACTAGAATTTGCCCTCCACTTGATTACCGCTTGACAAAAGCGCCAATTTTGCCAATTTTCATTTTTTTCCCTTGATTGAAATCTTAAACAAAACAACAGGACTTCAATTCGTCATAGAGGGCTAGTAGAAACTGCATCTTGTTATATTCTTCTTTGGTATATGTTACATCATATTACTGAAGTGTTTCGATTTTTGGTTTTTACTTAATGGACTACGTTTTTTAATGCTCGATAGTTTGAGCAGTAAGCAAGTCGAGTAATACAACTATTACCAAGTCGAGTGAGCTTCCGCTAATACAAATCAAGGACGAAAAGACTCAGAATTCAAATAACAGGTGCTTATCGTCGAGCGCGTTAGTCTCCCTTAAAACCGCTGTTCGATTGCTAGAACACCGGAAATGCTTGTTTTGGAAGTGCACTGGTTCTGATCTTACCTTACCTGATTATATATAGTAGACACATATTATGATACAACTTTGTTTGAGCTGTTCTTGATCGGGGGGGGGAGGTGGTGTATCGAAAAGTGATTATCATGGCCTAGGCCTAGCATCACGAAAGATTTGGCACAAAACAGAATGCAATGACGTTTTATGATTCATATAGCCAGTCTAATAACACTTTGTTGTTCACTTAACCACTCAGTGTCATGCCGGTACATCTTTTCCCGATAAAAACTGTGCGGCTGCTGCATCAAATCCCGGCACGAAATGTCAGTGTCATCCCGGTACATCTTTTTCCGATCAAATCTGTGCTGCTGCTGCATCAACTCCGGCGCGAAGTGACTGGATTGATTCAGTTGTGTAATCTCTCCATGTTCTTTCCGTGTTCATGCATTTTCTTCATACCCTTTCGGCTCCAAATCTCTTATGTTTCACAGGCTTGGAAAATGTGATGGATTAGAGAGATCATCAGAGTTAGACTTGTTCGCATAAGATTTTTCGTACTTTGAATATGTCGTATGTGGCATAATATTTTTGTTTCCCTCTGGTCGTTTTAAGCTAAGAGGCTTGACCGATGTCGTTTTCAGTTGGCCTCAGTGCCCATTTTGTCCTCCTCCATACGCTTTACCTCAAATTCTCTCAACCAATATGGTTGGTGCCAATTTGTTTACTTTTTTCCTACTCTCATGTTCCTAAATAACCAGTTATTTAGTATTAGATTTAGTAGTATTTTTTTTACATTTGTAAGGGAGAAATATGTTATGTTTGAGTCTCGAAAATGAAGAGTTCACAACCAATTTGTTTCTTCACTCCGTAAATATGTTGTCATATTTTAATAACCATATTAATTTAGAAATTAACTAGAATACATACACGTATTTAACACACTCATCGTAATACTAAAAAGAAAAATACTAAAACGGAAAGAAAAAAAGGATGAAGAACAAAAATGGTAGAATGATTGGTCTATGACTATGGCAGCACTGGAATTGATCATGCCTAATCACCACCGTTCATCTTCTTCTTCTTTCTATCTAAATTTCTTGTCAGTTCACCTAATTGGGACCCACATGTTCCTTCCCCAAGCGTCACCTACAACAGCAGTATTCTTGTTTATTACTCAAGAAAGAGGAGGAATTTATTCTCAAAGCTCTGTGAATTTCCACTTAAAGATTTTTGTGTTCCAATCATAGAATTTTAAGATTATAAATTGTTCATATTATAAATTACACTATAAAGATCATCTTACATTTTGATGAGAAAATTAAGGTAAGGCATGAGCATCCCTTTTTTTGCAGCGTCACTCATTGAATACCCATTTATTAAAGAAGACCAAGCTAGCCCTAAAGTCGAAAGACGAAGGCATCAAGGCAGAAGGAACAAAGATTGTTTGTTACACGACTTAGCAATTTAACAGGCTAGCCTTGTGAACGATTACCTTTGGTTGCTATCCCCCGCTCTTGAAGGATTGGATTTGGTGGAAGTCTACGGTCATTTAGTCAATCGATTGTAACAAATACATAGACCGTTTTCATAATGTTTTCACCAATTCGTTTATCTATTTTTATACAGTTCGATGATTAAATAAACTTAATTTTAATTGATTTTTTTTAAGAACAATCTTTTATAAAGTAATTTATAATATGAATCATAAGACAAAATTCTATAAATCGAGAACTAATTTATAGGGTCTCACTTTCATAATTTCATTCTACGTAAGCTTGAAATTTTTTTTCCCCATTTTATGCCTGTAAGTTAGGTTCCTCCACTCTAAAACATATAATAATTGATAATTATCGTTACGTCAAATCAGATTAAAAAAATATAATTGTACGGCACAACTGGAACCTCACCATTCACCACACGACAGGTCGTACCGTGCACAGAAAAGTCAGAATGGTCACCGGCAGTCCCCGGTCACCTCATGCTTCCGTTACAAACTTCCGTTTCTCAACGGCACCTGTATAAACACCCCGTTCCGCAGAGAGCCACGAAATTTCTCAATTGGGGGTTTTCCAAAGCCCCTCTCTCTCTCTGTCTCTCTCTCTCTCTCTCTCTCTCTCTCTCTCTTCGATAGTCATGGAGGACATTGACATGGAGTCAATAGGCCATGGAGGAACAAGTTCGCGCTGCTGCTTCTGTTTTCCGTCGTCGTGGTCGCGGATGCGGACCTCCCAAAACGATGACCGGTGGTGGTCCCGAGGCATCAGGGCCTTGTACAAGCTTCGAGAGTGGTCCGAGATCGTCGCCGGCCCCAGGTGGAAGACTTTCATCCGCCGATTCAACCGAAGCAGAAGCATAGGCCGTGGCGCCGGCGCCAGCAATCACGGGAAATTCCAATACGATCCCTTGAGTTACGCTCTGAACTTCGACGAGGGCCCCGTCGACGAAGACGACGAAGTCGTGGGGTTCCGGAATTTCTCGGTCCGGTACGCCTCGTTTCCTCAACCGGCAAAGTCCGGGGGTTTGACGGAATCGGGCACAGACGTGGCGGTGTACGGGTGAAGAAATTGCGCCGCGACGGCTATCGTGCGCCCGGGGGGGGGGTAAGGGAGGGATGTTTTGTGAAAATCTATGATTTAGCTGGATTGGCTAGTCAGTGACCTGGCTCGGAGGGTGGAAAGGTTGACCGTGACGTTGACGTGGCGCCGCCTTTTTTTATTTTATTTTTATTTATCATTTTGGTTGATCTCGTTGTAATATTTTAATTTTTTAATTTGTTTTTTGGTTTTTTTTTTTCGATAGGATTGTGGTTGTTGCTGGGTGTATAGAATTGTCAGATACTATGAAGGATTGTCAAATTAATATGAAACCAGTTGATGAATATCGTGCAGATTTTGGAGGATTTCCTAGAAATTAATAAATATTTTTATATTATTGTTTTGCAATTTTGCTAAATACAAATTAATTTTATTATTAGAGGACAAGACTACTTTTCCTGGCATTGTAATTTAGTGTCAACTTGTTTGCAAAAAAATAAAATAAAATTAGTGTCGCTTTTCTAAACAGTCAAAACTAATCGATTCAGTGTATGCTTTTAATAACTTTACAAGGAATGCTTGCTATATTCTCCGCTTATCGTCTTTGGTTTGCTTTTGCACTTATTAACTATCGTGTGGACTTCACACACTCAAAACAATGTTTTTAAGGAGTAATGCGGCATGAGAAACTCAATGGGATCTCTGTAAACTCCTGTTTTTTTGCATAATGTTGTTACAAGAATTGACGTTAAATTGTGCGGTGGGACACACCAACACATGTGAATTACATTTTTATTAAAAAGATAAAAATACGGTATGAAAAATGTTGTAAGAGTAGCATTTTTGGTTTTTAAGGGTTTAATACCTCACTAAACTCACTATTATTATTTCACTTTTACCTCTCCTAAGATCATCTCCAACCCTGGGTTAAAAGCCAAATTACCCCCCAAACACTCTCCAACCCATGCTAAAATTTTAGGCTAAATGCCAAATGCTATTTCTGGGCCAAATACCCCCCAGCTTTCCCCCCGGGCTAAATGCGAAATGTTTATCGGAATTTAAATTTTTTTAGATTAAAATGTTCATAAAATTAATTTACAATAATCTACATATTTATTTTTTTTTTTAAATTGATTTAAGAAAAAAATTTAGGCTAATTTCATTCTTTAATAATTCCGGGCTAAAATTTTATGGTAGAAGGGTTGGAGCAGAAAAGATGTTTCTGGGCTAAAAGCTAAATTTTCCGGGCTAAAAAATTTGGCTTTTAGCCCAAGGGTTGGAGATGGTCTAAAACCCCTTTTTACCTTTCTTCCTTTGTTAAAATTTTTCGACACCCAAACTTCTGGTCCATAGTTTTCTCTGCCACCCTCAAGAATAACCCAATTTGCTGAATTTTGGGTCCATTGGGATTTAAGCAAATTTCCAATAAATGAAAAGAAAAAAAAAATTATCGCCTCCGCAATTAAATTGAATTGCTGCTTGCTTTATCATCATCTCTATTTTTAATTTATATTTTTTTGTATGAATTTATTTTCCAACTGGAAAGCAACTGATTTAGAATTATGAGGTTTGTCTACTCTGTGGTAGCAAAAATCAACGGTCTTCAGTCTTGACGAATTTGTACTTACAAAAAAAATTAGCATATTTGATCAACGACCAAAGCCTTACGTACCCACGGGGAGGGGGGGTTGGCCAATTGATCTACAATGCCTAAGTTTTCTTTGAAAATAGTGAGTGTTTAGGGCTTGTATGCGTAGTAAAAGCTTACCAAAATTTGGTGGAGATGAAGGTATATATAGGAGGAGGTGGCCGGCGGGTGTTGGGTTTTGCCCTGCACACGAGGCTTTCTATTGGCCAAGTTATGTCATTCGTAGGATGCGCAAGGAAAAGAAAATTTCAAGATATTAATTAGGAGATAATATTTTGGAATGATGCTGGAAATATCCTTAATTAATGGTGATAGGGATTCTTACTTAATGGAGTAAATTGCAGCAATGGTCCCTTAACTTTAACCTAATTAGAGTAATGATCCATCAACTAAAAATTCATGACCATTGGTCCCTTAACTTATCAAAACATGTAGCTATGATCCTTTTCGTCAACTCAGTCAGAATTCTGTCAAATTGAGTCATGTTGGAAGGATCATTGCTACAATTAGGTTAAAGTTGAGGGAACATTTCTCCAATTGGGTTAAAGTTGAGAGACCATTGCTACAATATTTCTCATTTTGTTTTCCATCTTTGCCTCTTGATTCAGCCTCACGTCTGTAGCACGTGACTCATTTTAACAGAAGTTATAACGGAGTTAACGAAAATGACTATAGCTGAATGTTTTGAAGAGTTAAGAGATTAATGGTCATGAATTTTTAGTTGAGTGACCATTACTCCAATTAGGTTAAAGTTGAGGGATCACAACTACAATTTCCTCTGCTCGATGTGTTGGTCTTCATTTAGGATTGTATTAAAGATTGGATTTGGTAGTTAATTCTTATCTTTAATACCTTTGACTTTTCAACTCCATGAATTGGGAACTATTGTTGTTCGCTGCTTGAATTTTCATGGATGTTGAGATATGCGTGGGAACGCTTGAGAGCCTTACCCATTTAATGATGGCAATCTAATCTTTCTAAAATAAAAGTCCACTTATGTGAATTTTTGAGATAATTCTTTGTCCCACATACTCCATTTATGAACTAGAAAGCAAGAGTAAAAAAAAAAAAAAAAGGCTGAGTTGGGTAAATTTAGAGAAAATTGAAGGGTATATGAAAAAAAAAACTAGTGGAAACAAAAATTTCAGGACATGTGGGTGACCAACAGGTGAAGGATTTGATGGGGCAGGTGGCCGCCATGGCAGATCAAATGCTCAGAGGAAGCAAAGAAACGAGAGTTAGAACTGAGTGGGTGAGCCACATGCTCCTAATATCACCCACCACAATCCATGGAAAAGCTAAAGGCAGTGCGTGTCTTCTCGGAAATACAGTGGGGGATAAGTTACATGATACCAAGCCGACGCTATTTTCTAATGCTCACCACCTTTGCAACTACACTCTCGAACTATTGAGAGTTGTCCTACATGCTACATGGATAATGTTTACTACGTGCTTATATAATCTTGGGTTACTCCTCATATTATCAATTGATTTTACAGTAGAACCTCAATTTCATTATGGTATCAGAGCAAGGTTGTCCACGTGTGAAGCCCAACAGCCACACGTGCTCTACGTCATTCAGTTGTTGTTCACGTAGGCTTGAAAATCCACCACACGTGCGGAGGCGTGTTGAGAGTTATCCCACATCAGTAAGGATAAGATTTGTTACGTGCTTATATGATTTTGGCTACTCCTCGTATTGCCAATTGATTTTATACGGAACCTCAATTTCATCACGAACCACCCTTGGCTTCTTTCTCAAAGTTGTTGAATGTCAGCGACATCCGATCCTTCATATCTCCGTATCTCCTGTTATCACGTTGCAGATATGCTGCATGATGTCGAAGCCGCGTGTCTTCCAGTTATGGTGATCGCCGCTGATGTCGACGGCAAAGGCTTCATCACGGCCGAGTTTCGACTCGAAAAAATTTAGGAACTCGTGGGCTGTGACGGTTTTTGGGGAATGTTCGTGCCTCGAGGCTCGAGCTGTGGGTCGCTCAGCCACCCCCATTTCTAGAGAGAGAGAGAGAGAGAGAGAGAGAGTTGAACGACAGAGAGAGAACTCGGAGACTGACTGCCTGTGAGAGAAAGAGAGGGAAAAGGAAGGGGAAGGGGGAGAAAAACGACTCGTTTCAAGGAAATAAATAGAATTTGGGCCTCGCTTGTATATAGCCCAAAAACTTCAAACCAAACATAAGGGGTAGCCCATTGATTTTTCCACAAGCTTTTTCCGCAGCGATTATGTTACATATGAATGGTGTTATGTTTATTTAATATTCTCATTGAACATGATTAGTATAGGATGAGATGCTTGACAAAATTCCTTAACGAGGACGAGGCTGAGTAGAACCGAGAGTACGCAGGCAGTATGGCTACTATGGGATGAGAGGCTTGACAAAATACCTCTGCTAAACAAAGCTCTTGCTAAATTGAACTTACAATTAAGCATCTGTCGTACAACGAAATAGCAAAAAAAGCATTACTACTTCTAAGCGTAATTGTACATTTCATGTTTCAGCATTGATGGGAGAAATGACACGAAAAGGAGGCAAACCGGTTTGAGCATTCGAAGAACCCGGGACTCTGTTCTTTGCAGACCAAAGCCAAATCTTCGAAACCGAGAAGCTCTCACCTTTATGCCTGCCACTGATTTTCTTCCCCTCCAAATTCCCATTAACTGAGAAGCTCCCATTACTAACTCCCTCTTTGGCAAGCTTGACATCACAATCATGGGACAATGCGATTTGCAGATTTGAATCGCCAACCACATACTGATATGCGCCCATTGAGTAACATCTCCTAGCATCCAAATTACACCTACTGCTCTCCCCCACTTTCCCCCCACTTTCTCCACCTTCATTCAAGCTTTTGAACTTCCCAAGCCTCACAGAAAAAACCCTCTTTTCACCAACACTTTCCTCCATAACCAAACCTTTCCGACCGCTCGAACACATGTTCTCCCCATCACTCACAACCGCATTTGACATCTCCCTAGAACCGCCGGAATCGAACACTGGATTCTCCAACAAAATCCCAGACCCCAAAAGGGTTCCTCTACAAAGGGGGCACGTCGAATTCGAAAGAAGCCAAGTGTCAATGCAATCAATGTGGAAAGCATGGCCACATACAGGAAGCAACCTCAGCTTGTCCTCGTCAGAAAACTCACACAGACAAACTGCACAATCAAATGGCTCCTCCTTTGAACCAACAATGTCTCTGCAGAAGAACACAGGGAGAGAATCAATGGCGGCTTGATCGAGGCCCGAATCGTGAAGCCGAAAGAGCTGCTGAAGCTGCCTTTGGATAGCTCGAGAGCCAGAGGTTTCTGGGTATCTATTGGAATGGAAGATTGAGGTGGAAGATGACCCTTTTGTGAGACATCTCCAAAGCAAATGAGCAAACCCATAGATGAAAAACATAACAGCTACAATTACTATAACTAGAAGAAGCACCGGACTGATACTGCCAATAGATGAAGAAGAAGAAGAAGATGGTATTGGTGGGGATATCAATGAGGGGGGTGGATATATCAAATTACCATCTTTTTGCTCCAATCCATGGAGTTTCCTAGACATTTTAGGAGATGGGTTTTGCTCAAAACAAAGTACTCTTTCTGGGTTCCTCAGATTAGACGCTGGAAAGGGTGAGCAAAGTACTCAAATCTACAAGTACGAATGCAATGCTGACCAGAAACCTAATCAAATTAAGTACTCATATGTGTGAAGAGATAATGTTGTTTTGTGGAAAATTGAGAGGTTTAAATTTGGTTGTCGAAGAATTATTGAGCTGGTAGAATTGGAAAGGACCTACCTTTGGATGTGGAGGGTGCGAATGGAGACCATAACTAGAAACTGATGAGGTCTTTGGTTGGTGATGATGGGGTCTGGACGGTCTGATTTGAATCCTTTTTGCGCCACAGAAGTGTCAGAAGGAAGACTGGCAGAGTGATGCGTGAAGTGTTTTGTCGAGAAAGAAAACGCCACAGGCTCTTTAGCCCATTGTGATACAGAAGACACTTCTTAACTTTCAATTTTTCTTGAGCAACTACAATATTTAAGTTTAGGGCGTTGGATCAAATCTAATCGTCAAATATGTGTTGGTAACTTGGTATCGTGTTTCGGTAGGTGCTTAAGAAAAAATTGAGCTTAAATTATTAGATTAATTCCAACGGTCAAATATGTGTCAGCAATGAATGTCTGTAAATACTCAAGAAAAATCAAAACTCTACAAGACCTAAAATCACAAGACTAACAACGAAAAAAGTCTTGGATGAAGAAGCCCAACCACATCATTCTTGCGAAAATCCCTCTTTCTTGTGAGATCGCACAAAGACGAGGTTGGGCCGCCCGTCCAAAATTTTCTTTTAGTAGCTTACAGTTTTCCATAATGCAATACTTGCATGAAATAAAATTCTATCCTCTATCTCTCGTCACGTGACATGTGATTTACGATGGTGAAGTTTTTCTCTATAAATTACTACGCTGATGAACTAAAACTGTAGGGCACCATCCCGGACAAACCTAAGAAAAGCATTAGACTTGTCTCCCTCATATGTATGGTGATATAGACCTATGCCACATAAAATTGAAAAGCTGAAGGAGGTCCATCAACCACTCAGTTTTGATTGTCCAAAAGTGATCAGTGCGACTTCTTTCTCATCACGATTAATCATAACTATTATCCTTAATCCATCAATGATGATAATCCTCCCACTAATCAGGCAATTTTCCATCAATCCTGGCATGAAACTCTGAAAGATCTACCACTGTAAATATGAAGTAGGTAAGTAAAAACAGTAGGTAAAAAGGCAAATATTTCACCTTACTGTATCGGGTCTGAGCCCCAATGACCAAACAAGCTTTTCCTGGCTTTGAAATGATGACAAAACAGAAGTCTCAGAGGTTGGACAAAATCAAAAGGTAGGGTTACATTTGCTTTTCCTGGCAATTATTAATACCTAATCATATCCATGATTGTATCCACTTAACACAGGTGATTATGACTAATCATGTTTTTGGAATGCTACCTCTATTGGTTTGACTAATTTCGTCTGATGTTAGTTGATAACCACTTAGCAAGCAGGTCAGAGTAGAGTTTCTAGAGTTTTTACCGCATTATAATGTGATGAGAGAGATAGATACATAATTGTATACAGTTAGTTATAGAACATAATGTTGAATATCTCACATCGGAAAAGAAAGAAAGAAAAGTTTAAATATAATTATCGTACTCCAACTAACACCGATGCCTTGTATGATAAAATCTTACACCTAACAGATTTGGCAGGTAGTAGTTACCAAGTTGAGAACAGTATCGCTATTGTTGATAGTGGGGTCATCGGCCCGTCTATCTGAAAATTCTACATGGTATTAGTGCCAAGGGACGGGCTTGTATTGTCACGTAATTGGGTGGGCCCCCTTTAGACATTATGTGATAAAACCTCATACCTGACTAATTGGGCAGGTAATAATTACCAAGTTAGAGACAATATCAATATGTTGAAAGTGGAACATTCGGCCCGTTTCTCTTAAAATTCTATATACATTTTCACGTGTTTTATCATGTAATCTAACTAAGGGTGGAATTTTTTGCCAAATTACTATACCAATCGAATTACCAACCATACCATACCAAAGTTGTGCCAAAAAATTTGTACCATGGGTAATGGTACAGTATTTGTATCGTACCATACATTTTTTGTACGGTAATAGTATTCAAAACCATTACCAATGGTATACCGTACCGTACCACTACTATTAATATTATATAATTTATTTATTCATTTATATATAATTAGGTATTATTATCATTATATATGCACTTTATATTTTTTTTTCTAGTCATTTATCTCATCATCTCACCTTTAATCTCTACTTTTCCAAAAAAAAAAACCTAAGCCTTTTTGTACTGCAACTTTTCATCTTTTCACTCATTTAGCCACCGACTTCATCTCTGTTGCTCCAGTTCCGGCGACTATCTCTCTCCGAAGTCCATCTCATCTTCTCCTTCATCAAATTGAGATGTCTTTCTCCCTGGCTTCGTCTATCAAGTTAGTTTTGTACAATTTTAAAGAATGTAGAGATGAAATTTAGGAATCTTTGTACTAATTTTTTTTTAGGGATATTGGGTTCTTTCAGCAATTCTTTCATCTATTTACTTTTTGTTTCTTAAATGAATCTCTATAAAATTCTCATAATTAAATAAAAAAGTTTTAGATACTCAAAGGGAGTGGCCAAAACATGTTTGGGTGTTGAATTGGGTTGGAAAAAAAAAAATCAAATTTTGGCCCAAAAGAATGGCCCAAAACAAAGTAGTAATTATCATTACTATACCATGTCAATCGAACTATTTGGCATGCTGAAATTCAGTATACTGAAAGTTTGATACAATAATGGTAATAGATTTTGTCATACCAAAAGTTTGGTTATGGTAATTGGTACATGAATTTTGGTACGATAATTGTACAGATACCACCCTTAAATCTAACAATCATATAAGGTAGAGGGTTGTACATTGTATGACACATATTCAGACATTTAGGACTCCCTGTGGAATCTGGATCCTCGCCAGATCCTCTTTGTGAGGATCCCAAGGATCCCCAGAATCCATGAATCATATCCATTCATTGTACATCGCTGATCACACGATGTACGATGAAGGAATACAATTTACAGATCTTCAGAATTCTCACCAAAAGGATCCGAAGAGGATCCTGTTGCCTCCCTGTGGATATTGAATCAGTCCATTTTGTTTTACCTTTTGGTCTATACAGTGACTCCATCTCCCCGTGTTTGAATTTTCTCATCACAAAGACAAGGTCAACAACAATATCATCATCTAATAACCCCAACACAAACACGTTTGAAATCAAATTCCTCCAACAAGTGAGCTGCAACTTCTGAAATGTTTTTTATTTTTTATTTTTTTATTTTTTTTATGGATCAGATGACACAGATCTCTCCTCCTCCTCTTTGATCGACTTAATCATCGCCGAAACTCGACTCATACTTGGCCTCTCATTTATGCACTGCATTGCTACCTGCAACAATTTCACCATCCTTTCTTCACTTGCACCTTCTTGGATCAAAGCCTCGTCAAAAACTTCGACAGTCCACTCCTCACTAACTACCGAGTGTACCCACCTGGGCAAATCCAAGCCGTTTTGCTGCACCAGCTTCCCTGTCAGAAGCTCAAGAAGTATCACACCAAATCCATAGACATCACCCTTGAACGTGCTTCCTGCATGGCCAGCTTTCGAACTTTCAATCCCGCTGTTTGGCGAAAGGTGTGACTGGTCTTGATTTTCAATCTCCATTATTCCGTATTCACTGATGCAGGGCTCCATGGACATGTTGAACAAAATGTTCATGGACTTTAGGTTGCCATGAGCAATGCCATGTTCATGTAGCTCTTGGTGCATGAATGCCAATGACTCAGCTATGATTTCTGCAACACTTAGTCTGCTTCCCCAGTCAAATATTTGTCCATTTGAAGATCCTGTGTGACACCGAAAAATCATGAGCAATTCGATTAAATTTACTTTATTGATCGTAAACAAAATACATGCGGTAAGAAAAGCCTTTTCACAGGCGCTCCAGAGCGTGTGGAGAGGATAGTACAATAACCAGTTATGTTAGGAAATTTCCCGTCCCCAAGCCTTAGGATTTGAGATATATAGCAAAAAATTGATCACATCGAGCTTAGCTTACCATGAAGAAGGTTAAAGAGACTGCCATTAGGCTGATACTCATAAACCAAGAGCTTCTCTTGTCTGGAACAGTAGAATGCAACAGCTGGCAAGACATTTCGACACTTAACCTGATCGATTTGTGTCAACCGAGTCTTGAATTTTTCCCTCGAAATCCCACTGTTCCTGATCCTCTTCACAACCAAGTTAACCCCTCGATCAAGCATGATTTTGTAGAGGCTTCCATTCTTCCCTCTGACAAGCAATATAGCAGGAGCTCGGAGCAAATCCTCGAAACTCAACCCCCTCAGCAATGGATTTGTGAGAACTACGAGTGGTGGAGCCATTCCGCTTTCAACAGATGATAACGAGTACTCTGCCATCTTATGACCACCACCAGCCATCAACTCACCAGAAGAAATAGTAGTGCTAGGCACAGTGCTAGCAGCATCATTTGCCGCGATCTTTTTATTTCCGCCCTTTTCGTTGTCTTCTCTGATCTTCTTTTTTATGGCAAGTTTAAAGAGAAAGAAGCAAACGACAACCAGGCCAAGAACTATGCATACTGAGAAGAGTAACAGCTTTTCGGATGAGGACTTTTTCGATTTCTTTGGCATTACGGAAGTTGGTATTGCAGGAGGGCAGGCATTTTGCAGTGGCTTTCCACACAGCTTAGGATTACCCGAAAAGCTATCTTTTCCGAATAGGCCATTGACATCAGGGATAGAGCCACTGAAGTTGTTGTTGGAGACATTGAATTCCTTGAGGTTGAAGAAATCAAAATCCGGGATTTGCCCATCAAGCCGGTTGTTCTGAGCAAGAAAAGATATCAACCCTGAAATCTTTGCGAAATCAGGAAGCACACCATTGAAGTTGTTGTTGGAGATATCAACCCTTTTCAGATTATTCAAATGCGAGAGAGACTCCGGAAGCTCACCTGAAAAGTCGTTCCCACTTATGTACAAGTGAGTTAAATCTCTGCAATTGCCAATGTCTTCTGAGAGCAGACCAGTTATGTTGTTCTTCTTCAGGCTCACAACACCAACAGACTTCACCATGCAGAGAGAGTTTGCATCAAGAACTCCCGTTAAATTCGAGGTTTCGAGGACTATTTTCTTGACAGAATTCTTTCTGTCACACGTCACACCTTCCCATTTATCTATGCAAGGATCCGAGCTCATGTTCCAACCCCAATTTCCGTCTCTGGACGTTGCATTGGCCGGTGAGAGTTTGTCCATGAGTTGCACCAGGGCTTGCTTGATCTGAGTCCACTCTTGATCTTCTGAATCCGCCATTGGAATGATAACGAGAATGATCAAAATGGCGAGTGCCCAAATGGAAATCCGATCCATTTTTTGTGTATTTTTTTTATGTATAAATTAGAGTCTTTTTTGTGTGGGAAATAAATGGCTTTGAGATTTGGTGTATCTTCCTTATGAAGTAAGATTTATTGATTGAAATTGCAAGAACAAGAAGAAAGGAACAAATGGAAATGTTGAAGTTTGTTGATGGAACCACTTGGTGCCAATTGGATAAACACCGACAGAGAGTTTGAAAATTTCTGTGTGTGTTTGTAAAGCTCATAACAAATTGCACTAAATTCTACCAATTTTAAAAAGAATATTTGCCGGCAGTTTTAAACGGTCAATTTTTTGATGGCATGTCTTTTTCAATAGCCTTCCTAGAAAGAACACGGTTATTTGTACTTCGGACACATGTATATATCACTTATGAGTCGAGATCCTCACCAAATCATTGTGTTCAGAGCTCAAGAATTTGGAGATTCAGCCGTTGAAGAGAGAGAGATTGGTCTTTTGGTTTACGTAATGTGGGCCACTGGGATGAACTAGTTAGGACCAGAAGATTTAAAATAAGTAGTTTAAATCTTCCAGATACAGAAATCCAGAGAGGATCTCAATTACATCACTTATTAAAACCCGATCAAAAGTTTATGCACATATCAAACTATCATTGTTTGTAATGTAGAATGATTTATTACATGTAAGGAGCCAAATATTATTTTTTCCGGGATTAATGATGGTACCATGGTCCTAGTATTGACATATGTTCATCAAGTATTGTTTGTTATAGTGACTTGTAAAGACCCTCCAAATCGGATTACTTCCCTAATTTCTGAACTAGACAATACTAATTTCCAAGTGCCAAGGCTGTAACTTTCAATTAGTTTTAATGTTGTTTTATAATTTGCTTAAATATAGGTATAAGATTGTGATTTGTGACCGACTAGGTTAAGTTGAAGACAAGTCAACCATGGATGAGCATGGCAAATGGCACATCAAGGCATCACTCTCCCTTATTGTGTTGCCTCCGTTGTTCCGACCCCTTCTCCTCCGTCGACACAACCCTGTCACCTCTGTCGACTCCGCCCCCAACTCGTCCCCTTGTTTGTCGTGGTACCCATGGCAGCGGGGGAGGAAGGTGGCAGCGAATCATGGAAGGTTTTATTTTGATTGACATGGAAGAAGATGAGGCTGATCAATTTGCAACGGCACGGGTAAGAGAAAACTGAAAAAAAGAGGTGTTTGGTTATGATTAGAAATTGGAATTGGTGTTTGATCATGAATATTAAATGGACAGGTGTTGCAATAGTATTGAGTCACGTAATAGGTCGTATATTTTAGAAATAGTGTGTATCCAAGTATAGTCATTTCTATTTTATACACGCGATGAGAGTGGAGCCAAACACAAAATCTCGAGGGCAGATCCAAACAGAGAACCTCAAGTTCATCATATACAACGTTACTTAACTTGTCCCCAGAGTAACTCAAATATATTTTTCGACCAAAACAAACGCTATACATTCTGCTTGGCATGCTTTTGTTTGTCTATATGCATCTCAAGGAATTTGAAAGAAACACAAAAAATAGTTGTGTCTGGATCATTTCTACATGTTCATCATTCAATGTGCTTCTTCATAACATTAAAATAGTTCAGTAACCAACAACAGAAGCAGATTATTCGACGAAATTCATAATTTTTACAAGAAATTTTAATCTGGTCGTACAAATTTAGGTAGTAAACATAATTCAAATCGTAAGCGAGTAATGGGGGATTATAATGTTTCCCCTCTGCACCTGCAGTTCACTATGGGTCTGCATGTCCAGCAATATCATCGTCGCTTGAATTGCTTTCCTCGTCGCTAATGTTCTCATCGCTCTCCTCGTCTGGTGTTGTATTGGTAATGTGCTCCTTCTTTGCATATCGCTCACAGTACTCTGTGTCCACAAATCACATTGGAAAAATGTAAACAGAAAACTTTACATGATAAAAATCCCGCGAGAATATAGAAGATTTTCTCACTAGCTTATGCTGTGGGAGCAACCAAGGAAGAATAGCTTCTAAGTTCTAAAAATACTCCGTGTAACATCTTCGAAGCTCAAGGAACTAACTTACTATGAAAATTCAGTGGAATCTTGTAATCAAGTATCAGTCCAAAAGCAATGAACAAGGCACTGGAGATAGACTAGTAATTAGTGAAGTCATGGTCCGTGGACCATCTTGCAGAAGTCACACTCACAGCTACGAGACGATATTGGGATTCCAACTCCAGACACGGTCAAAGGAACCAAGAAAAAGTAGGGAGGGTATGGAACTATCCAATTACAATCAAGAGCTCTTTTCACACATACGCTCATCTTTGGAAGGTCCATCTCCTAATATCCCTATGTTATTTGTGAGAGAGTCTGTGGTGAGGTTTCAAAAATTTAGGCATTGTTTTTTATTAGTTTAAGCATATTACTGAAAGGAAGGTATATTAATTGCAGATGAAGTTTTACCTTTGACCTTCTGATTGTAGAGTTTTCGGTCCTTCATCATCAATGATGCTGCATCACCATTGAGTGGATCTGAAGGATTTGGATAAAGCAACAGTTGTGGAAGGAAAACTTCAAAAACGTTTAAAAGGTCTGCATCAAGAAGAAACATCACCATATATGTGAGAAATCCAAGAAAAACCAAATGAAGAAAGGAAAAAGAAAAATGAAACAGAATAGAACTGCGAAACATCACCGGCTCATGGAAGAGAGTATAATGACACAAAACCAACACTTCAACAGTGTATTGGAAAACAAGGGTCAGAATTTTTACTAAAATGGGATGATAATTACCAAACATTGGACTCCATGATTGGTTAATTACATCTAAGCAGACAGAACCAGATCTGCAATTATGGACCCAAAAAAAAAAAAAAAAAACTGTCAGTACATACAAGTTAATAACCAATAAACAATTACTCAAAGTCCTGCTGCCTGCAAAAGAAATTAATTAGAAACTATGTTTTCAAAACCAGAGACTTATTCAAGCATATGATAATCAACAGCAGTATTACAGCATCAAATTTCTAAATAAACTTATACTTCCGCCTTTTTTAGACCCAATCTGCCGGCGTGCCACTGGTAGCAATAATTAAAAGTTCCTAGAGAATAATTAAATTGGATGAAACGTGAGGTGAAATTGATCCTAAAACTGAAGAATACTCACAGCTCATCAACATTCGGGTGGAAAATCTTGTTCATGAAGCCAATAGATGGAGATTTATATGGATAAGCATCTGGAAGCTCAACACGGATTTTCCAAACCCCGCCTTCATAAAGGCCTGCAACCACATCATCACACAGAGACTATAGTTTACCAAAAGAATGACATATAAAACAACGCCAAGAGCCTCAGCTGATAAAAAGCCTAGTGGAAATATAAGAAGCAAACGCATTTCTGATCTAAGAGTAAACTGCAATAAAGTTACCACAAGGAAAACAAAGATGAAAAACTTTCCAAAGTTGAGTGATCGTTACAAAGACAGGTCTGATACCAAATTCAGTTAAACGTGCCTAATGCCCCCACATCATCACACAGAGACTATAGTTTACCAAAAGAATGACATATAAAACAACGCCAAGAGCCTCAGCTGATAAAAAGCCTAGTGGAAATATAAGAAGTGTTGATGCACAAAACCGGATGGTCTTGGAACAACGTAAATCCGACCGTGAATCTGCACAAACGCTCAAGAACACGAAGAACACAAAGAACACAAGGATTTTATCGTGGTTCACCCCAATGTTTGGGCTACGTCCACACTGTAGTTGATTGTGTTTCTCTGTATGTGTATGGATACAAGTGTTTGGGGAAGTCCCCCGGAGAAAAGGAGGGTGAGGGAGAAGGAAGGAGAGCCTCTTGAATTGTATGAGTTCTCTCTCTCTCAAAGTATGAGAGCTTTGAGCCTTGTAGGATGGCTTGGCTATTTGCCTCCCTTAGAATGAGGGGAGGAGTCCCCTTTTATAGAATAAGGGGTTCCTCCTCTTTTACAAAGTATGGGCTTTAGTGTGAGGCCCAAATATACGAGGCCCAATATATGGTACCAACAGGAGTCCCCCAAGTCTTCAGTCAAAGGAGTCTTTTGGCTGGAGACTTCAAATCCAATCCATGTACGGGCCGAAGTGGCTAGATGTCCTGAACCAGTATCAACCCAAGGTAATGCTCAACATAAAGCAATACTCGGCTAGAGGTATCACACGTTACGAGACTGCTCGGCTGGAGGCGATACTCGTTGCGAGGCTGCTCGGCTAGAGGCTATGCTCGTTGCGAGGCGGCTCGGCTCGTGGTATTCCTCATTGCAAGTATCTACTTTATGTCGACATGCACTCAGTATGAGTTGATTCTCGACATGACTCGGGTCTGCTTGTCGGGTTCGCATATTGGGTCTATGTGTCGGATCCGCGGATCGGGTCCGCAAGTCGGATCTTTGAATCGGGGCCATACGTAGGGGCATCGAGTTGGGGACTATCTGTAGGGTCATCGAGTTGGGTCCAGGCACATAGGTGTCCCAATAAGCGAATGTCCGAGCAAGTGGGTGTCCGGTCAGACAAGAGATCACCACAAGCACGTGGCTCATCAGTCTATAAGTTGGTAGACCTCGTTAATCAGCAACAATGTTGATCAGTGGACCTAGTTGCTCAATAATTCCTGACAATAAATGACAGTATAATCATGAGCGTATAATGAATAAATATAATAAATACGTAAAAGAAATATGGTAACAACAATTATTTAATATGTATATTTCTTATAAGTGTAAAACCTTGCCATGCGTATTATAGCATAGTTTTAGGTTATAAAAGTGGATTAGTTCTTTTGGATTTGAGCTGATAATTTCAACATAATTTAAAATGCATGGGTGTGGCAACCCACATCCACTTTCAGCATCTGTTGTAAACCCACCATCTGGTCAAGCTTCCTCTTCATGTTTGTAGCATAGTCATGGGCGAGCCGGTGCAACTGCTTATTCTCATGCTTGAGCCCTCTAATCTCCTGTTTGAGACTCATCACTTCAGCAGCCAATGATTCAACTTGGCGGGTTCTAGCAAATAGGCGTTGGGCCATATTAGACACAGAACCTGCACACTGAACACTAAGAGCCAGAGAGTCCTTAACAGCCAACTCATCAGACCGTTTGGAAAGTAGTCTGTTATCTTTGGGAGTGAGAAGGTTCCTGGCCACCACTGCAGCGGTCATATCATTCTTCATCACAGAATCCCCAACGGTAAGAGGACCAGTAGGGGATATGAAGGATGGGCGCCATATGTTGTCTGGAGAAGGCGTGGCTGTCTCTTCTCCAAGGTTCAAGTCAAAACGACGGTCGGAGGGTCCAGACATTTTCAAATGTGTTGAAGAAGGAAGAGGTCAGACAAATCAAGATCTTAGAAGTGCAAGAAATGAGCTTCTACTGGTAGAGATTCAAGTATGCTGTGGAACTTAATGCCAGCCTCTATAAAAATCTGCACTCGACGGAGCTTCAGAAATCGAAGAGGCGTTTGCTTTCTCAAAAGCTGGGCTGCTCAGAGACCACGAGGGCCGATCTCAGAAATCGAAGAAGCACCTGCTTTTGCAGCCTCGTCAGCACCTGTCACATGCACAATCAGCTTTGCGGAAATTACGGGCAATCTGTCGAAGATTTCTGGTGAAGCAGAAAGCACGTGAATCTTACTGATCAATCACCGCTCTCCATATGCACCATCAACTCCTCGGGTACCACATATAACTTTGTCAAAGATCTCTGACAAAGTTTAGGCACGAGAATTTCGAAGTGCCAGCTACCCTACTATTACCCATAAGGGTAAAGGAACAGCACCACTGCTTGACAACTGGAAAGTCCCTATGTGTGTCGACCTCCGTGTTTTGTGGCAAGACAGGTTGGCAAGAACGACCAACCTTTATTCACATTCAAGAAAAGACTCCCAACATAATTACTTTCTCAAAAAACCGGAGTAGCACCGCTTTCCGAATCTCGAGAGTCAGATCTTCGACGGGATTGCTTGTTCGAAAACCGAAGAGGCACAACTCTCAGAACTTCGAGAGCCAGATTTCCTTAGATAAAGCTTGTCTGTAATCTCCACACGTAATATCAGCTTTCCAGATACCACATACCACTTTTTCAAAGTGCTCTGACAAAATTAAAACACGTGAAGCTGGCAGCTCCCACTACATTGCTGTGACCAAGAAGGGTAAAGGAATAGCATTACTACTTGTTATTGGGAAATCCCTATATACATTGACCTCCCTCCTCAACAGACAGGCAAACCTGCAAAAATGCTCAACCCTTTCTCACATTCGAAAAGGCACCCTCAACATAACCTCTCGAAATACTCAGCTTTATTTCCCCCCGATAATACCTCAGCAAATAAGCCACACCAAGAACAAGAGTATCTCATATCATCAGGGTCGAAAGCAAGAGTATCCCATATCATGCTTTCTCCCTGTCTTTGTCTTTGTCCTTGTCCACACCTGCAGGACAAGGAGAAAGAGAGCAGTCAGTCGGAACCTGAAATCAAACCTCCAATTTGGAACTGACTGCCTGGAGCCTTTGCCTGGTTGCTTACTTAGCATTGCTCTCGAGTACAGGCGGCTGCCCTTGAGAGAGGAGACAAAGCGAGTTAAGGCTGAGGTGTTGGCTTGTCCAATTACTGTAGTTGAGCCTACCGCGCATGAAGATGGAAAGAAAAGATCTTCTTTGCCTGCTCAAGAAATGCCAACTGAGAAAAGGCCTAAGACTTCTTCCACTGCTCGCGACGGTTCGCCGGCTGCCCCCAAGCTCGTGATTGACTTAACTTCCACCAAGGAAGAGAAAACGGAGGCTATTAGATCTGTGCCAGTGACGCCTGCCGTTTTGAAGATGGCTAGTTCTATTGCTGATAGGATTGCTCAGCGTAGAAGCCCTCTCTTCTTGTTGCCGATACTGATTCACTTATTGAGAAGAATGAGGCTACTTGTGCTGGCAGTTGTAAGAAATCCACCAAGTCTGTTAAGTTGCTGAGATTTGTACGCTCTTGAGACCAGATTTGCTCAAGGACACGGATGTATATGCCAAGTTTGTTGATGGTGTCAAAGGGGTTGTTGGCCCCAAGTTCATTTGTAAAGCATATGACCGAGTATAAGAGGACTACTCTGGTAGCTATGATACAGAAAATGGTGATTCTAGCAGCCAAGTCTATGCTTCATGATCAATAAGACACCAAGGCTGCCAAGAAGGTGGCAAAGACTGTGGTAGCCAAAGCTTACTCCTTGGTCGAGAAAGTAAAGAGGTTGAAATTTGAGCTTGTTGATTTGAAGGGGTCTAATATCTCTACCCCTACTTCTTTGTAGCTTGAGACTGCTCATTAGGAGATTGTGGATTTGAAGACTAGGCTTGACACGATCCAAGTTAAGTATGAAAGTGCAGAGAAGGAGATCAGGTGTTACATACCTCAGATTCAAGACCTTGAGCACGCCATCTATGAGTGTCACTCTGCTGCTTACGCAATGGATGAAGAACTAACCGTTGCTTACAACCAAGCGATCTACTTCAAGAAGGTCATTGATAGGCTTGAACCTCAAGTGTTGGAACTCCAATGTTTTTTGAAGATCAACGATAGTTTAAAGAAGGTAGTGGAGGAGCTACAGCGGGTTTTTGCTGGTCTGCTTGAGGAGAATGAGTAGTTGAAGGATGAAAAGGCTGGGTTCAAAGCTTCGTTTACTCAGACTTAAGCTGATTTCTACAAGCTGGGTTATGTAGACCATCTCTTTGGAAGGCCCTTTGACTTTGAGTTTGTTGGTAAAGACTTCGAGATTTTCTCCATTTCTCCGGAAGACTTGCTTGTCTTTACTTTCTAGGCTTCCATTGGTGAAGTAGTCGGAAAGGTTGATGCTAGGCTGGAGCAGCAATGGGTAAAGTGTCGGATGATGTTGTTGCTGAGGGTACCATAGCTACTGAAGGTGTGGAACCGAGTAGTCATGGAGTATCCAAGTTGCTAAAGAGTAGTCTTCTAGTAGTTTTTAGGATTTTCTTTGTTTTCCTTGTTGCTTTTTTTTTTTCTTGAACTCCTTCGATCTTTGCTACTTGTTTATCAATTGTGCTAAATTTTTTTAACAAACGTACTTTCTTCATTTTTCTCTATCTCCCATTCTTTTGTTCGTGCCCTAACGTTAGACTTTATAGACCAGTGGCAAGCGTGCTATATTTCTATAAGCAAACATGCCCGCATAGCCTATACAATTGTAGGTGTTGGTGTAGAAATTTGCAAAGTTGTTAGCCACAGGGTCGGCAGCCGAACGCTTTACTTACAGAAGTAGACAAACACGTATGACCACTAGGCTGTTAACCTTGGTTTTCTCCAATTCCGTAGGTTGTGTAGCAAGTATCACAACATTTTAGGACTTGGTTTAGGTCGTTCTGCACTTTGGCAAAAATGAAGCCCATCGACTGCATAGTATGTTGGTAGTGGATGAAGCTTCGTATATGCCTGCCAACTTGTTTAACCTTTCACAGAAACATGCAGTGCCCCCTCTGTCTTTAAGGCCTGGTTTTCCACAGATTAAGCTAAGAGACCCAAAATCCTTTAGTTAGCTAAATGTTGAAAAAGACCATTGTGGCTATTTCTAAGAATCCTAACATAAGCCATTATGCATCTAGTTATAATAGAGCAGCCCGGCTCATCCATGTCTGGATATTTGGAGTATAGAGTTTATCCTCCTGCTTTGGAGAGTAGACCCATGTGGCAAATGATCAGTTGTTGTAAACATGTAGTCGAGCCAAGTTGTAAATTACTTTTGAATTCCACATTGAAAAATGAGTGAAACGAACGAAAACTTAGCTGTAAAGTAGTAGAGACTACATAACAACTAGATAATCATCGACTTGCGAGGTGGTGCCCGTTGAGCTGCTTGAGTTCTTCGAGCTTTGACATAGTGGGAGGTCACACATGGTATTTCCTCAGATTACAGGTGTTCCACTGCTTTTCAATCTCTTTGTTGTTTATGGTGGCGATGGTGTAATTATCTTTGTCGCCTACTTTGCTGATCTTGTATGGACTTTCCCTGATGAGATCCATCTTTTTGGAGCATTCTCTGCTGGAAGTGATGAAGGCTTTTCTTAGGACTAGATCTTCGGGTTAAAACTACTGGATATTGGCCCTTTTATTGTAGCTGGAGAGGAGTTGCTGGTGGTAGGCTGCGATGCAGGTGCTGGTCGGTTCGCGCTTCTCCTCTACCAGATCTAAGCTTGTGGCCATCTCCCTATTATTTTGCTCAATTCTTGACAGTAGAATGTTGATGCTTGGCACGATGATATTTGGGAGAAATGATTGCTTCTAAACCAAATGCCAAAGAGAAATGAGTCTCACCAGTGGCTCGTCGTTTTGTGGTGTGATACGCCTATAGACATCTAGGGAGCTCGTCTGGACATTTTCCCTTCTTATTGGAGAGGGACTTCTTAAGGCAGTCAAGAATCATATTGTTGGATGTTTCGGCCTGCCCATTGCCTTGAGGATACCTTGACATGGACATGTGCTGCTTGATGCCATACTTTTGGAAGAACTTCGTTAAATCTTCGCCCACGAATTATGGGCCATTGTTCATGACAATGGATTGAGAGATGCTAAATTAGCAAATGATGTTCCTCCGTTTGAGTCGGGGTTGTCATGGGCTCTGCTTCTACCCATTTGGTGAAGTAATCAGTTGCCATAATCATCATGCTTCTGCCCCCAGTAGCGGGGTGCATTGCTCATACCAAGTCGATCATCCACTGCATGAACAGACTCATCTGTGAGTGTAGTTTACTGGCAGACAATGCTAGTATCGGCTTGTAGTGTTGGTAACAGTGGCACTTTTGTACTAACTCCTTGGTGTCTTAATGCATGATAGGCTAGTAGTAGCCTGCATTGAAAGTTTTCTGCTTTAAGGATCAGCCTCCAGAGTGATTTCCATAAACA